AATCTATCCAGTGGAGAGTAAAGTTGAGGCGATCGATAAAGCCCCAAGTCCGACAAACGTGACAGAACTGAAAGCTTATCTTGGAATGCTGAACTATTACAATAGATTCTTAACGAATTTGTCTCACTTGTTAAAGCCGCTACATGTACTTCTACAGAAAGACACAAAATGGAGTTTGGAAAAAGAACAGGAAAAAGCGTTCATAGAGTCAAAACAGTTGTTGAAATCGCATCAGTACTTGTACATTTCGATCCGAAAAAGAAATTAATGTTAGCATGTGATGCATCTCCGTATGGAGTAGGGGTCGTACTTTCGCATAAAATGGACGACGGCAGTGACAAACTAATAGCTTATACATCTCGAACACTTACATCAGCAGAGAAGAATTATTCCGTTCTTGAGAAGGAGAGTCTGGCCATTATATATTAGGTATCAAGAAATTTCATCAATATTTGTATGGACACCCCGTTACAATCATAACCGATCACAAAGCGCTTATAGGCTTATTTCGAGAAGATAAACCTATACCGACAATGGCCGCATCTCGAATTCAAAGGTGGGCACTGACTTTAGCTGCATATGAGTACACGATTGTATACAAAGAAGGGAGTCTGAATGGTAATGCGGATGGACTAAGTAGACTACCGCTGAAAACAAACATTGAAAAGATACCAACGCCAGGTGATACTGTATTATTAATGGAACATTTAGCCACTACGCCAGTTGATGCTAAACAAATTCAAAAGTGGACACGCAAGGACACAATACTGTCTATGGTGCTTAGATACATTTTGAATGGATGACCGTCAAAATGTCCCAGTGAAGACATAAGACCGTATTATAGTAGAAAAAATGAACTGTGTAGTCAGGACGGATGCATATTGTGGGGAGGAAGAGTAATTATACCACAACCAGGACGTAAGGCCATGTTAAATGAACTACACCAAGGACATCCAGGGATTACTAGAATGAAAAGTCTAGGAAGAAGCTATATATGGTGGCCGGGAATGGACAATGACTTGGAATTAACTGTAGTTAACTGTTACAGTTGTCAGGAAAACCGAAAATTACCAGCAGAAGCACCGTTACATCCGTGGGAATATCCGAGTCATCCGTTGTCAAGAACACATATAGACTTTGCAGGACCATTCATGAACAAATCATTTCTAATTATGGTTGATGCGTATTCAAAATGGATAGACGTCATGAATTCTACAACATCCGAGGCTACGATTGCAAAACTTCAACAAACGTTTGCAACACATGAATTATGTGATCTCATTATTAGTGATAATGGAGCCGCATTTACTAGTAAGGAATTCGCCGATTATTTGAAATCAAATGGAATTGAACATCGCACTTCCGCGCCGTGGCATCCAGCTAGTAATGGTTGTGCTGAACGAGCAGTTTAGAGTTTCAAAAAAGGTATGAAGGAAATTAAAGAAGGAACTGTCCAGGAAAAGTTGAACCGTTTTCTTTTCAACTACCGTTTAACTCCACAAACAACGATAGGATTAGCACCATCAGAAATGCTAATGAAAAGGAAACTCAAGTCACGTCTAGATTTAGTTTTTCCAAATATCGAGAAGCGAGTTCAGGAGAGACAACAAAAACAAAAACATTATCACGACAAGAAATCTGTGAACAGACAAATTAATGTAGGACAGGGAGTATTTGCCCGAAATTTTGCAATTGGTTCAAAGATTAAATGGATTCAGGGAGAAGTTATAAAACAATCAGGACCACTTTCATTTCATATTAAATTGCCAGATGGACGTGTCATTCGTAGACATATTGATCACATCAGAGTACGAAACTTTGATTGCACAAACAACGAAAATGAAGAAACATGTGAAAATGACAGTGAATTGTTTGAGCCAGAAATTACTATACCGATAAGTACTCCTGAGACAGAACAACCGCAAATCGAGAAACCGTCAAACATGACTGAACAAATGGCACCACGCTATCCGAAGAGAATAAGAAAAGAACCATCGCATTTTAAGGATTTTGTGTTGAATTAGATTGTTGATTTATTAAGAGGCATAATAATCCTCACAACCGTTTGAAGTGCATTAAGTACTTCGCAGTGCATGTGTGTACATATCATTTAGTGTAAAAAATAACAACAAGACCAGTGCGAACATTTTTATTTTATTTTCTTAGTAGGACATTATAGTTTCAGTGCAGACAAGCTTTAACGAATGAATCTTTGTGATGTGACATTTTTATTTGTTTTCAAACTTATATTGACTTATCAATCAGTAGCCGTGAAAAGACATTAATTTTCTGTAATTGAGTTAATTTGTTTTTAATTTGTTTTTATCTAAGGCCGGAGAAGTGTTATAAAGTTCACCGCACTTTATTACCGTATCATCTGTTACAGTAATTATAATTGACAGATAAGCAACTCTCACATGTCTGCACGTTCTTAAATAAACATAATTAAATAGATCAATTGAAGTTCTTATACACATGTTGTCATTCTGTAGTCTGACCATCAAACGATGTACTTGTTAATAAATTAGTTATAGAAACTGGATTGTATTATTATATAGCAAATATATTACAAAATTCACATGAATTTCACATGAGTTTCACGTTAACAAGTTCACGTTAAATTCACGTAAGTCAGATCATGTGAGTTTCACGTGAATTTCATGTGAATTTCACGTGAAAACTGTTCACGTGAAATTCACATGAAAAATTCACGTGATATTCACGTGAGCAAAAATTCACGTGAAATTTATGTGAAACTCACGTGAATTTTACATGACTTTCACGTTGAATAAGACTCACGTGAAATTCACGTGAACAAAATTTGCCTGTGTAGGTGAACAAAATGCCCCTTCCGAGATCTTCTTCATAGATTTTATTATACCGTTTCGGAAAATGTATGGTATCTATATACTTTGCTAGAAAGGGAGATGATTTGCTTCTTCTGGTTTCATATGACAAGTTACTATCCATAGATTTTAACTATATTGCTTCCAGTAACTTTTACATGAAGTTAGTGCAAGAATGGCTACTTTTGATTTACACAAGTGTACACTTGATACAAGTATAGTAAGACCAAACTCTAGATCGTCTCATTAACTTCTGACCTAAATTTCAAGGTCAAAGGTCAGTCATATCTCAAATCAAAAGATTTAATGTGCATGGCTTCAAACGAAATTGTTCTACCTAACAGATTATTTAGAATATTTAAGGGGAGAAAACTGTTATAAAAAAGTCACCAGAGTACTTGAACCTAAATGTATTGGCGCTGCGTCATGTCGGAATTTACAATTTGACAGAATATTTATATTCCTAACGTTAGCGCCAACATACCACTCATGCCAAAGACAAACATGATTTAACTCTTAGTTTTTTAAACCGGACCAAATTTAACAAATCAGCCTAAAAAAGTAACGAACAATTTAGAAAGCAAATTTAGGAGATCCTTTTTACAGTTTCTGAGGTGAAACGAAAACAAAATAAACAGTATACTTTGAGATAACTCTGATATGTAAAAGTGTTGTTTGAAAAGGGTGAATTTCAAAAACGGAATAACATGTCGATATATCATATTCTAAATATCTTATTTTCATGTCGCGAGTCAACGATATATTCTAGCAACAAAAGGGGCGGACGAAAAAAATAAGATTTTTCCACAAACCAATATATATATGTAAACAGTGAAACATATAAATTGTACCGACGAAAAAAAGACAGAGCTACGAAAACATTTTATCACAGCTTGAACTCTGAGGATACAATATTATAGCAGTACTTTTATTGGTGCAAATATGAAAAAAGCAAAACAACAATATAAAAGTAATTTCATATCAATGGATATTTGTAAAGTCGAATACAAGTTTATTTTATTTGCATGAAGGAATTTGATTTTTAGTTGAAAACTTTATTTCTGAAACAGATGCAGTACAAATGAATACTTGGTATTATTTGTTTATATTTATTCTGTTTTTAAATTCAATGAAGCGATTATTTTTAGAAGATGGGAGTTTTTAGAGATACGATACAATTAGATATCTGAATAAACAACTCTTGATTTAAGAAAAAATAAAATAGACAGATGTGTTTTTAAACATCCAGCATGTGGAGATTCTAAAGTAAAATGCTTTAACCTGTTCCTAATACTATTTTGAAACTTTCAAAATATTCCAATCGCTCTTTAAAATAACTTCAATGTTTCGTTTTCTACGAATTGGCCAATCTCATTGTATATTCATAAAACAGTTTTGCTTTTTCAAAACGGTTGACTATAGGAATTCATCTTTTCAATTTTACTAATATTGTTACCATCATGAACGGTTTTTAAACTAAGAAATATGCTTCTTCAAGATCAAGAAATAGCATCTCAGGAAAAGAGAGAAATTTTGTTTTGTATTTAACTGATAAATGGACAGCAACAATCAACGGGGAGACACAGGGTTCCGCAGAATCATTTACGAATGTTTAATGGGGTTCGTGTTGCTCAGTCTTTAGTTTTTTATGTTGTGTTTTCTGTACAATTGTTTGTCTGTTGGTCTTTTGTTTTTTGTCATTCTTTTGATATGATTATCAATGTTATAATAATTTTAAACTGAAGATATACATCGATAAAATATAATGCAAGTATAGATTTACTTAACAATATTATTTGTAAATAGAAAATGAAAATAACACATTATAAATTTCGAGCGTCAGAAGCGCTCACACCTTGCCATTTAAAAGCCGGGGATTCAGTCCATTGTCATTACGTATGATAATATAAACCACACCTGTCGTATAATACATGATCAAAACCTAATATGTGCATTGCACAGATAAATCGCATATTGAACAAAAGTACCGATATCCAATAGTATGATATAAGAACAACAGAAAACCCAATGAAATAGAGCATCATGCTACTTTTTAAATGCAAACCGACACAGTTATGGACATTTATTGTTCCTTTCGGCGATTTCTATGACTCAGAAGCATTTGTTCTCATTAATTCAGCCTTTGTTTTTCAGATGTAATAATTGGAACGGTTGTTGGTGGTTTAGCAGTTGTCATTGGTGTTAGCATCATACTTATAGTATGCAAAATCAGGTATGCTTTGATCTTTTGTACAGCTGTTATTGACGAGGGTGTGAGTAAATCAAATTGATATATAATCAATTATCCAGCTATCAATATTATTCAAAATACTATTTAGTGGAGTGCACACATATAAGTGGTTTCAATGCTCTTCAACTTCGTACTTTAATATGTTTGTTTTCACTTTTTCGATTCGAGCGTCACTGATGGGTTTGTCTAAGATGAAACGCGCGTCTGGCGTACACAATTTTATGATGAGTTAATTTATTTAATATTTCAAAAGTCATTTTGTAGGTCTGCCGGAATATTTGCAAAGAAAACAGACCATTCAGTTAATGCATTTTCAAAAGAAACCTGTGAAGGATCTCTACAATCAACACCAATGAAAAAACAGCCACATGTAGAAAATGAAAGTATTGGACTTGAAATTCAAAGGACAAAAGATATATATGCAGAAGTCACAAAACAAAAAAAGACTGAACGCATGAATACATTGTACTCGGAAGTCAACAAAACACGAAAGTTGTCACTCGACATTCGGAAAACTGATGGTAAATATTCCGAATTTACCGAAGGAGAATATGATCGCTTAAACAGTTTTGACAGACGCATATTAGACAAAGATTCGAATATGTATGATAGCAACGTAGGAAATAGAAACTATCAAGATCCTATGTATGACACTGCATTACATGAGAGCAGGTTTGAAAGCGAAGATGTTTATGACCACTCATTTACTAATGTGAATACAGACTCAAATTATGATTGTTTTTCGTCAGTAGCACACACACATATGAAAGGAAACGATGTTTATGATAAAACTGTCTAAAAGAATTTTTAATGTTCAAATCTAAGATTTGAATTGTAGGAAAATACAATATGAAACTTTTACGATACAACTTTGCAAAAACTAAAATCAAATAATTATAAATATTCTTTTAAAAAAGTATCTGTAAAACATGGTAGATTAACACATTGTTTAATATATAGATATACGTGTTTTCATTTGATATGTTTATAATGTGTCGTATGACCCCAAGGATTTCCTTTCCTTTCCAGATTCTGATATGAAATAAAAGAGATTGGGAAATACGTCAAAGAGACAATTACTATACAACATACACAACCAAAAAAGAGACTTGTTTGTTTCAAACTGTTTGCTTTTTGTCAGTAAAATAGCAAGAAGATACGAACGAATCACACAAAAAACATGCATCTAGAAAAAGGCACTCAATATCTTAAGCTTGGTTGAATGAAAAAGCCGAATTCAGAAAAAAAAAAACATAACAAAATAGACCGTTACAGATTACAAGGGAAAGCAAATTCAACATTCAGAAATATAAACCTATTATCAATCGGGAATAAAGTCTAGTTAAGCATAGGCCACATAATAGATATTTAATTGTATTGGCAATCAAAAGACACACATACTAAGTGAACATAATTTCTCTATGTGCTTTAGGTCTTTTTTGTTATATTATATATGATATAATCTTAAGAACGACGTCTTTAATCGCGGCATACCTTTTTGCATTCAGTAATTGGAACTTTTTCAGAAACGTATTCATCTACAAATTTATCACAACAGTTACTGTATATATATCATGTAACAAAAGAAATGGGATGGTAAACATTCATAAAATTTCTTTAAGGTCATGGATCAGTAAATGACCAGTACATAGAATCTTTTTAAATTGTGTATTTAATTATATATATTGAAAACGTACAACAAAAAATGTAAAAAAAAGTATAGTTCACCGACTTCGATTTCGAGAAATAGCAATGTTAAAGATAGGTCAAGAGTGTACTTGATTACATTGAATACATTTAGGGTTTCCTGCATACATGTGGCATAGTACATAAACACATTTTTTAAATTAATATTTTCTTCCTCTTTGTCTGACTAATTACATGAAGTCAACAAAGATATGGTCACCGACTTGGTTTTCCCTGTAGAAGCTTTAACATTTTGGCAAAAAAAAAAAAACATCACAAATTGTGAAGTTGTCATATTTATTACATAACGTCAAGTTATCATGGTATGAATTTCCAACGTTCTCGGTGTTGCGTATGCATGATTTGTTTACACTTCAAGCACATATCGTTATTAATAAGTTCTTTGTATCATAATGGTCTTTTGCCCATTACTCTGTGGTCTGTTAACCCAAATCAGACCCTCTTTTATGAATTGTATCTAATATGAAACTGAAACAGTTGTAAACAAGACGATATGATATAAATTTTCATGTATAGATTAATTAAATATTTCAGACGGAAAGAATTTGTGAGTTAATGAACGCAAAAATAGTAATTAAATCAAAAAGAAATAATCCTAATGTCCTGATTTAATAAAAAAATGTAATTGAAGCATAATTTTTTCGCCTTTTGTGACTCTTGGTTTTCCACAAAAAAGTCAAGAGTGGAGATTGGGAACACAATCAGACCCCTCATGTGAATACGGAGGTTGAGACATGAGAGTAACACTTGTTTGTTGTTAAAGTCCGTATGCACATATGTAAATCACTAAATATCTTTTCCTTTTTTGTTGCATTGTGCTGTTGTTTGGTTGCTGTCCTATTGAGGCACTGATTCCTCACGTGATTTTCATTTTACTTTTGGTACTGAAAGTATGTGTGCATATTTTGTTTTATTAGAAAATAGTATGATATCGATAGAATCTCGTTCTCGACCTTTAAAGTTTTTGGATTTTGAGAATTGAAAACAGTTCTATTCTATATTTGAGATTCAACTTTCAGGGTATATGATTTTTTGTCAGTTTATTTTTAACCATATATATACCAATTTCCTTTGAGGAGACAACCATACGAATCAACAGAAAGAAACCCTTTTAGGATCCGCTGAATGTTCTTTTATTAGGAAAAATATGTCATGCATAACTTCTTCAAACCATATACGTGTACTATTTATACATGTGCCTCTACAAGGACTTCTGTTCTATTTTTAGCTTCAAAATTTTCCACAAAATTGCGGACGTGAATGAAATTACCATTACAAAAAACACGTTAAAATACAAAATGTAGCGAAAATCCAAACGATAGTGAAACATCACTTTCATATATTATTTATGAGTAATACTCTTAAAAATTATGTCTTTTCCCAGTGAATAAAGGGTTTCTGTATGGACAGTGTTGTCATACTACATAAAGTATATTCCCTAGACCACACTGTTTTTCATCTTCAGATTTATAAGAAATAGTTTTTATACAGCTTTAACTGGTCGGCTAGAAATCCAAGCTCTACTACCCTACGTCCCTGACATCAATCAGGTTCCCGATTTTCATTTTGAAGATCGTCTTTATGATCATTTTTATATTCATTTTCAAAATCCTTTAACAATCCTATATCTTCAGTTCAGTTTGAGCAAACCGGTACTTCTCCTAGAAGATCCATACTTCCCATCAAATGTATCGATGTCCCGTCGGAAAATCGTCTATTGCAACATTATAAAAGCTGGTCAAATGGACGTTACTGGTACAAGACGTTCCAACATTTTGCTAGACGGTGTTCATTTACCGTCACTTGACATAAGATCTGAAGATTATCTCTTATTTTGGAGTCAGTTCTTATATATGGTAATACTGTATTCGACAATAATTTTGTAGTTAATTAGATACCTTAAAGTTGGGAACTATGTTAAATGCAACACACGATAAAGAACAAGGTATTCATTTCTTAAATATTAACTCTGAAGCTGAAAATGAACTGATTTTTGAAATTAAACTAGAGGCTCTAAAGAGCCTGTATCACTCACCTGCATCTTCAACGCTAGCTTCTTTTTTTGTAAAAATCATAATTAAAGCAACTACTTCAATAAGGAGTCGACTGACTATTTCGATCATTTGACCTATCTTTAGAACTTGTCCTGCTGATTATTTTTTCCTTTTTTAAGTTTCTAACTATCTATTATAGCTTTTTATGATATTAGGCAAAAACGCAAAAAAATAAGTAAATATCGCCATTTAAGAACAATAACTCCAATAAGGAGTTGTCTAACGATTTCAGCCATGTTAACTTACTTGTAGATCTATCTTGTATTGCTAATCATTTATCCTAATAAATGTTTCTTTTTAACTATTATAATGTACTAAAATAAAAAAAAAAAAAAAAAAAAAAAATCAATTTTAATGGCAAAAACTCCTATAAGAACTCGTCTGACAGTTTTGACATAAATGACATTGTGCGACTGCAAGAGCGACAAGAGAGAGTAAACAAATACCTTTCTTTTAATTAGTTTTATTGTTTGTTTTGGTGTTCTGTAACACCACTGTCCCAGTTTAGATGGGCTTGATGGCCTTTAAACATGTTTATCCAGTCGATTTCTGTATGTGCCTGTCAAAAGTCACGAGTCTGCAATTCAATGGTTGTCGGTTATTGCTGAATATCATACTTGATTTTCGTTTGTTCATTTGAAAATAAATCAGGCCGTTTGTTTTTCCTGTTTGATTTTTTTTTTATTTTGTCATGTCTGAACCTTTTATAGCCTACTTTACGGCATGGGGTTTGCACATTTTCGAAGGCCGTCCAGTGAACACAGATGCTAACGTAGTCTTCATTTTGATCTCTTGCGAAAATTTGGCTCATTGGCAATCATATTACATCTTCTTGTTTTATATCCAAAGCGGAGAGGTTAAGATTTCTCTTATTTTTAAATACAAATTAAGTCTCATTCGGTAATGTTGAAATTAATGAAATAGTAACGGAATGTGTTACGACAAGGAAACATATCTTTTGTAATCTGTGACACAAATTTAACCCACTGGTTAACCATATTACGATGGTGTCGACAAGGGAACATATCCGTTGTCAAGTGTGCCCTATATATACCCCAATGATTATCTGTACCAAAATGGCGTCCGATAATCGTTCGTAGAGAAAACATCCATTTTACAATTAGGCAGCAATCATTTAAGGAAATCACTATTATATGGCTATTATTCTTCTGTTCCGCTCACAACTTTCATTTCTGACTACTAAAGACTGAGACTATGACATATAAAGTAGAAAGCGCGAACTTTTATTTATAGAATTTCATTGACTGGTCTTTCGTTTACACCAGATGAATAAAATATAATTTGTCAATCTTAAAATATCAAGGTACTGTAAGTGGTAATCATATTAGAATTTCCGATCAATCAAATACATTATTTTTATATATAATATATATAGTATATATTTCCACATACTTAAACAACTTCTTAAAAATTACATGATCGTGAAATTATGATACAAATATATCCGATACAAAACATAAAGTTTAATGAGAAAATAAAAAAAAAAAACATGTTTGATAATTTCCTTGTTTAAATACTATTCATCTATTCAAAATGATGATTCATATTTCCGTATATGTTTCATTTGCTTAAAAAAAATGACTAGATATTTGGACTTCATATTTCTAATTATTCCCGTCCTTAGAGGTAAGGTATTCTGTTTTATATTATCCTTTATAAGTAAGGATAGTCTAACTTTTCTCTTTGTTCCAGAAGCAACATCAAATAATACTCATATAACCTGAAACTGATTTGTGTTATATGCAGTCTTAACATATAGTGCAAGAAGTACACTTGTAAAAGGAGAATTATGTATGTGGGAAACACATTATAAATTATAACAATGTCCAAGGAAAGATACTGAAGAAAACTGTGGAATTCTATATTTTACTAAAGTAATTAAGTTTAGATTTGAAAATTTAAATTTACAGTTATGTGATATGCGTTTTTTTGTTTTTTAATTTCCAATGTATGTGTTGTTTCTTAAAGAAATAGTCTTCAAAGTTGTCTATCCTTTGTCCTGAAAAACGAGTTTCAACTTTCAAGTCTTACATTCAGTCAAATTTTAGGGTTATGACATTTTCATTACAAATAGTATTCAAATTATAATGTCTAGGAAATGATAATGGTCTATTACCAAATCGCTTTTGTATAAAGCTTAATCACTTGATATACATTTAATATCAACATATCTTATAGCAGTAACAAGATGGGTATCACATGTGTAGCAGAATCTGCTTACCTTCGAGAATACCAGAGATCACTCCCGATTATTAGTTTGGTTGGTGTTGCTCAATCGCACACTTTTTCTGTGTAGTGATTTGTTCACTGGATTCGTTGTTTATGCCATTGCGTTCTCAAATTTTTCTCGACTTATGAGTTTTGAAAATCGCCATTTTATGTTTAGCCTATTTTTAATGGTTGATTAGACTAGTAACAAAGGCTTAAATATCACCTTCAACTTTATTGATATAAACTGCACTACTTTTATGTGTATTTTGTTTTAATTATGCGTAAGTAATTAGGAACTTACATTTTAACAAAGCTAAAGGATCGTATCAAAGATCTAATAAGCCACATATCTTTTGAAATAGGGAATAGTAACATTTCATACGATATTTAAAACGAATAAATGTTCCAAGAAACGTTTTTGGGAATAATTATAAGTAATTATATCTGTTTCACAGATGAGTACGGATAAGTTTGTATGTACATGAGCAACACGACGGATGCTACCTGTGGAACAGGATATGCGAATCCTTCCGAAGTACCTGAGATGACCTCAGGTGTTTGTAGGGGTTCGTGTTGCTCAGTCGTCAGTTTTCTATGTTGTGCTGTGTAAACTGTTGTTTGTCTTTTGTCTTTTTCTTTTTTTTTTTGCCATGGCATTGTCAGTCAATTTTTATCTTATAAGTTTGAATGTCCTTTTGGTATCTTTCGCCTCTTTTTTTGTTAACCGTTTGTACTTGTTACTTCAAGACCTTTTGAAACAACCCACAGCAAAAAAGTACATACCTAAACATGTTATACATTTGCACATACTTTGGATTAATATGAAGTTTTCAAAATATCTACAAATTCGTAATTATTTATACAATATGCAAAAGTGGAGATACACACGTTTCCTTCTGTACGCCTGTGATTATACATATTCAATCAACATAAATTAGTTCCTCTATGGAATTTGTGTTAATGTGATGTCTTCTATTCTCCCTAGTAAAATATGAGCGAAACTGCTGAATTCTTGTTTGAAGCTTGAATATTATAAGGAGACAGTCTGTTGACTTTCATATGTCTTTTTATGTGTTGATGTCTAAATCACGTAACACCACAGGCATGTGTTCTACAACGACAAAAGCTGACGATATAACAAACGACGACCACCGACAAAGTTTCTCACTCGAATCAAGCACACTGACATGTGTGGTCGGATAATAAAAAAGTTTAGTACTTGGTTATTTCATACGTTCCCGGAGTACCTGCTTTTACAAATGGTTGTGAACAATATCTAAAAGTAGAAAATTATAAAAAAAAAACATTTCCAATAGATAACCACAAGGCACTACACAAAATAGTTAAAAAACAAAATTTAGATTGAGGCAGCCGTAGTTATACTACAAAAAAATGATTCATAAACCAAAATTTTCTACGCGCAAAGCACAACAACAACAGCCAACTATACACATAATGCTCACCCGTTGCATAACATATGAAAAACAAAACACTTTGAAATATTATGTGTCCGCACAGCTTTTCCGGAATTACTTTCTCAAGTGACATACACATTATTAAGAAACTCCCTCATGCATAGTTGATATCACATAGATTTGGACTCATAATCCGACAATTAAAGCCTGGTATATTATTAAATATGTCAGTACCAAAGCACAGACAACTGCATATATCAATTGCATGCCACAAAAGTAGCATTTAATGATAAACACATGTGAAATCAATTATTGAAATGTAGGTTGTTTGTGCTCTTCGCATAACAGAACTACATTGAAACTCCTCTCTCTCATACATATTAAATATTTCATATCAATTATTAGATTACTGGCTTGAACTATTAATGTATATAAGTAAAGAGATATATGTATATAAAAATAAGAAGATGTGAAATGATTGCCAATGAGACAAATCTCGACAAGAGACCAAATGACACACAAATTACACGGCCAACTATTGGTCATCTTACGGCCTTCAACAATGAGCGAAACCATACCGCATAGTAAGGTATAAAAGGCCCCGAAATGACAAATGTAAAACAATTCAAACAAGAAAACTAACGGCCTTATTTACATACAAAATAATGAACGAAACACAAATATGATGCACAGAAACAAACCACAACCCCTGAATTACAGACTCTTTACTTGGGACAGGCACACACATATTGTGGCGGGGTGAAAGATGTTAGAGGGCATCAAACCCTCCTCTAAACTGGGACAGTGGTGTTACAGTACAACATAAGAACAAACTATAAAAATCAGTTGAACAAGGCTTAACTCATCAGATGGATACAAATAGAAATACAAGTAACAAAAACACAGAGTGGACGTGGCTAGGTACTTTTACATGTCCACAATAAAAAGACACTAAGTGCAGATCTGAGAGTACTCGCAGTTACTGACAGCTATTTCAAAACCAAAAACAACTAATTAATAACATCATGCATATAAGACTAAACTATCAACTAGTACGCATCCAATATCCAATTAATTAGTGGAAAGACGTCATTAACAGTCAGAGAAAAGCATGACCCGTTGCAATGCCTAGATACATGTATGAACAGATTGTAGAGCCATGAATGTGCATATGTGTTAACAATTATGACCCTTATATTAAATGGTTTTGTGTCCCTTATATTCCATGGTTTATTGTTATCAATACACGCGAAGATTATGGTACGCCCATACCAGAGATAGTATTAATAACAGCTGAGCATGAGTGTGTATACATCTCACTTAGTAAGTTTTGTTTTTACTGAACTCAATTAATATGAATTATTACAATATACAAAGTTTACAGTGGAACGACGTGGTCGCAAGCATTTCAGGCATGCGGTTCCCAATGTTTAGAGAATGAAGATTCAATCTTAAGGACAGTTAACATAACGGACGGACATGAATTTTGGATCGGAATAACAGTTTACAGTGCCTTAACACAATGGATTGAAGAAATTGGTATGGTATAGTTTCTTCTCTATTATTGCATTGCATGCTTCATAACGGAAGAGAAATAGATTTGCGTATAGTTGAATATTTTTAATCGTTCTTTTGAGATCCATCATTCTTCAAAAATAAATTCTGAAAAATAATAATTCTGTCATTTATTAGTTTTACTGACGTTTTATTTATCCTTTTAATAGACAAACTATACGAATCAAATTTCAAATGACCGGGACGGCAACTGGCCCAGTGGCCTTTCATAATTAAAAACAGCATGATTCAAATATGAAATGGTATTACATGGTAAAAGCTCAGAACATATGAAATTTTGATTTTAAATAATCATTTTTGAAGTTTTTCAAGTTGAAACGAACTATACGTTTTTAAGCAGGTGCTTCCGTTTGTGACAGAAGCTTCAGAATTGATATTTGTGGTTGTTTTGTAAATCACCTCATCCGTTGATATTATATTGATTTATATTTGAGTATTAGCTGAAAAATGGGCTAGGCTATTAATTTCGCCGTGAATTTTAAAAAATATTCCACTGTTTTTATACGTGTAATAACAGCCTCATAAATTGTAAATTACGACCAATATTTGCACATTCTCTGGGATATATTAAACTATTGATTATTGAAACCCCCCCTTTTTTTATTATTAATATTGTATTTATCAGTCAGGGGCATTACTTAAACAAGTAACAATTTTTATGACGTATTCGCGTTATTTTTGTCAAATCTGTATTTTACTAAAAGATCAAGCTCTTTCTTATTCCCATTCGAATTTACCGCGGTTTTTTTACCAGTTCCTAGTCTCGCGTGATTCATTCGTCATTTCCCGCGTTTTTAAGATCACTAGGATTCATCAAGACAAAAGCAAATCGAAAAAATGTGAGTTTTTGTTGTTGTTAAAATGCGTTTTCGTCCATTTTTTGACAGAAATTCTCTTATTTTATGCAATTTTATTGATGTTGTTTATATTTTTCCAGGTTTTATTAACATTTCATATGTCTATTTCTGTAATTTATACGTCGACGCACGCAGGAGCAGTGTCGACGCTTTTACTTGGAAAGCAGGTGGGGTCTTGAAAAAATAACTAGAATAAGTAATTTTTTTTTACCTTGTAAAAAGATAAATATTAGGGAGACAACTCTTGATGCCTTGTACGCAATTTGATTTAAACACATAAAACGAACTTTGTAAAATGAAACTGAAAATGAAGCGATGTAAATACTTGTTATTGTTTTGATTTGGACACGTGTAGCACTCTGCGACCCGAGATATTGCTATACCCTGATTAAAATTGTATGTGGTTTTGTTGTTAAACTGATTTAAAATAATTACCAGTTGACAAAAAAAAGCTTTGTTTTAGTATAACTAATTAAATGATTATATAGATTGGTGGGATTGGTCAAAATCATGTACATGTTGGATGTAAATATTTTGCTTCAGACTGTCAGATAGAAGCATTTTTATGTATAGTAATAAACAAAATTATAATAATACTGATTATTTGAAATACTCATAACTAGGAATTTATAGGACTATAATTATTGACACAATGGATTTATGTCTGTGCAGTGTAAAGATGGGAAGAACGGGCTGTCGGAACCCCTGGCCTTGGTTTTACGATCAAGTTATTTGAATGGGGACATATTTTAAACCCCCCTCTCTCCCTGCGGTTTCTCCTGGGTTGGACCCCAGTGGTGGATCCAGGGGTGCCCCCCTTCCACCCCCTTTATGGACAAGCAATTCATTTGGACCCCCCTTTACCCTGGGTTGGGAATCCCCCTTTTGAAAATGGCTGGATCTGCCCCTGAATCAGCTCCTTGTCCAGAAACACAATTTGGCAATTAGTCCTGGAAGTAACAATACACGAAGTTATTTCTTATTGTTAGTTCTGCAAGTACTGTAGCTAGTTCTTAAAAAAATAGCCTTCTTTGCAAGAGGTGGCTGAATTTTCATGTTTTGAAATATAAAAATGACCTGTTTGAGTTATAAAAAAAAAAAAATGCTGTGCAAATTTTTATTCCCCACCTACATGTACAAAAATATACAATAGTAGAGGGGCATTATGTTTTCTGGTCTGTGCATCCGTTCGTCCGTCTGTCTGTCATGTGTTGGGTTAAAGTGTTTGGTCAAGGTAGTTTTTGATGAAGTTGAAGTCCAATCAACTTGAAACTTAGTACACATGTTTTCTATGATATGATATTTCTAATTTTAATGCCAAATTAGAGTTTTTGACCCCAATTTCACGGTCCACTGAACATAAAAAAAGATAGTGCGAGTAGGGCATCAGTTACAAAAAAAATAATGCTTTTGTTCAAATTAAGCTACATTTTGTACTAAAGTAAATTAGTTAGGGTTTAAGCACAGTTTTGATTAAGAAATTAACATTCTGTTGTAAAGCTTTTTATCACCAGACTTATGAAGTTTGCTCTCATCATGCTCATAAAGCTGTATTATATTACTGTCCCAGGTTATTATAGGAGAGGTTTGGGTGGCACCGTGCCAACAAATAGTTGACCTCCCAGTAATGCAGTATTCATTTGAAGTGAATATTCCATGTCAGCTTATAACTACGTGGTCCTTGGTTTGCTGTAGTTCATATTTGGTTTTATTTAACTGTTCTTTATCAAGCACACAAATTTTATCCTAAGGAAAAACCATTTTTATATTAGCTTTTGGTTGATGGTAGCATGTACAATGTAGTTTGCATCAATGAGGGTCGCAAAAGGGTGTGCGTGTGATGACATCATCATGTGCATGGAAGAAATTGAAATATTATTGTCATTTCATGATGAACTAAAAATAAAATTTACTTGCACGTTGCTTTATTTTTTTAACAATTTCACAAAACATGGTACATAATCAGTTTTTTTCACAGAAGTAGTGAAATGAAAATAGCTTAATGCGTTGCATCAAAATAACCATTTACCACCCTTTTCCGTGTTTATGCCCCTGCTGCATGGCGAATGGGCCATTAAGTGTTACTCTTTTTTTCATTTCCGCAATCTTACTTAAGTTTGTTATGAAACTCATACACAATGCTAAAAATCACAACATGCAGACAGGGAGGATATTGGTAGTGACTAATTTACCATTCTAGAGTTATGCCCCTTTATAACTTGGAAAATTGCATTTTTTTTCATTTCTGCACTTTATTTTGGCGCATCCACATTTTATGAAATTTATACACAATGCTTTGAACCAAAACAGTACACTGACAGATTTCTTATATTAACAGTGAGCAATTTGCCGTTTTAGAGTTATGCCCCTTTAACACTTGGAAGGTCCAATTTTTCTCTCGTTTCTGCACTCAAACTCATTTGGCTTATCTAATTTTTTTTGAAAAAAAAAAATTATGCTTAGAACCAAAACACGCAGACCAAGTTTGAATTTGGGCAGAGAGTCTTTTACCGTTTGAGAGTTATGCCCTTTTATAACTTGGATGATTGCAAAGCTTGAGCGGGGGCATTGTGTCCTCGGACACATCCTTACATATTTTAGATTTTTATATCTGGTTTCTGATCATGATGACTTAGGGAACTACCATTTAGGAGCTAGGATGAAGTTTTTAAAAAAAAAAGCAGGACAAGACTTTTGAGTAAAAAAAATGGCAGGACAGGAGTTTCAAGTAAAACAAAAAACGGCAGGATGAGCAACTGTGCAAAAAATCCTGGATAAACTTTTAAAATAAAGGCAGGACCAAATAAAGTGAAAAATAAAAAGGCAGGACCGAGATTACAATTAAAAAAATGGAAGCCTGCTCCAGTACTACCCTATATAAGCAACAAAAGTTTTCCCACAAAAAAGGGGGCGGGGTGCTCCCTCTAAATCTGCCTCTGTATACAGCTAAGGCCAATTCAAATTAATTGATAGATTTTCATACCACCCACCCATCTGAAAGAGGGACGAAAGATACCAGAGGGACAGTCAAACTCATAGATTGAAAACAAACTGACAACGCCATGGCCAAAAATAAAAAGACAAACAGACAAATAATAGTACAGATGACACAACATAGAAAACTAAAGACTAAGCAACACGAACCCCACCAAAAACTGGGGGTGATCTCAGGTGCTCCGGAAGGGTGAGCAGATCCTGCTCCACATGTCGTGTTGCTTATGTTATTACAAATCCGGTAAATAGTCTAATTCGGTAAGTCACATTCGTGAAAAGGGAAGGGTATTGTAGTTACAACATAAGGAACATATCCGATATCATCTGTGGAACGGTTATTCCATAACGGTCAACCAACTTGTGATGGCATCCGTATAATTTACGAAGGGATGATTTCAACTTCACCATTTGGAACTCTTGGTTTAATAGCTTCCTTGTGAGCAGCAATCCTCTATCAAGGAAATCATGATAGGAAACACAAGCCCGGGAATATCGTATCAATTGGGAGATATATACTCTGTATGAAATGTCCCGCCTTCATTTATTTTATTTTATAAATTTTAGGATTTGCAGATTTGCAGATTTGGTTCATTTCTTTTACCGGTTTATATTGTGACGTTTTTCATGTTTATTTGGCTTCATAACATCCTGTTCAAAATTTACAAGGGATAATTTAGAAGTCTCTATGTTTTGCTATGTAGTAAAAATATTTACTGGAAAGGCACAATTTATTATAATGCAGATACCAAGTAAGAAACAGCATCTTTGGTTGATACAAATCATGTTACTGTTCTCAAAACCATGTCAGTCTAATATAGGGAATACAAAGTAAAAAATAAAATCCTCCCACCCACCCGATTTTTTCTGAAATTTGGATGAAAATCTACCAATCAAGTTAGCCTGAAGGCGAAATCATTATGTATAGTAATTTTCACTGTTCAATACGCAATACATGTTGGGCTGCTTAAAGTATCACTACAAACTGCTCAGAGTCTGAAAAGACCAGATTTTGTGCTCGACCAGTAAAGTCGAGCACACATTTTACTCGACTAGTCTCGACATTGTCTCGACAGTACTTAACTGTACTCAACTAGGTCTCGACTTTACTTAATTAGTCTGATTCAGTACTTGCTGAACTTGGTGTCGTCTGAAATGGTCTCGACCAAGGCTCGACCAGTCTTGACCTGTCTCCACTAATCTGGACCTTCAAATTTAGTCTTGACTGGTGTAAATCAGCCTATCTAACTAAATTAAATATAGATCTTTCAAAATTCCAGTTTATTTGGTAGTTTGGTTCATTGCTGTGAAATTAAATAATTTAATTAATAGGTAAAAAAAAATGATTAAATTCAGATATGCATCTTTAATTATTTTTATAACTTTTTCAAATCAACTTGGATTTTCATCAAACTATACAGCTACCTTGGTAATATATTGATCTTACTGAATCACAGGTCGTTATGTAGTTTGGTGTATTGCTGTCAAATTTAAGGATTAAATTAATCTAGGTAAAAAAAGCTAGGATTTGCAGTTCAGACAAAATTCAGATAGTACACTTTAATTTTTTAGCTCATCTGGCCCAAAGGGCCAAGTGAGCTTTTCTCTTCACTTGGCGTCCGTCGTCCGTCGTCCGTAAACTCTTCTCCTCTGAAACCACTGGGCCAAATTTAACCAAACTTGGCCACAATCATCATTAGGGTATATAGTTTGAAAATGTGTCCGATGACCCCGCCAACCAACCAAGATGGCCGCCGTGGCTAAAAATAGAACATAGGGGTAAAATGTAGATTTTGGCTTATATCTCTGAAACCAAAGCATTGAGAGTAAATCTGACAGGATAAAACTGATTATCAGGTCAAGATCTATCTGCCTTAAAATTTTCAGACAAATCTGACAACCTGTTGTTGGGTTGCTGCCCCTGAATTGGTAATTTTAAGGAAATTTTGCAGTTTTTGCAAAAATCTTCTTCTGAAACTACTGAGAAAATT